ATGCGCTCCAAAGTTCCCAATTTCTAGTCCAGCTTATTCTCCCAAGGCTATATATATGGCAGCTTCACTGTTCATTTGCCACACTATGGGAACGTCAAACAACAAGACACAGTACACATACAGTTGGAACGATCACAAGCCATGACATGGGCCAAGGGAAAACCACCAATCACCAATTACATGCAGCCGCCACCAAACAACATACTTCTCGGGTATACCACAGCCTATCACTCCTCGTCGCTACGCTGCTTCACTGGTGCCCTCTGTCTAACGGATTGCTCAACAGAATGGGGGACTACTGGTGCCAGGAGATGCACTAAAAGGGAGCTCACCAGACATCATGATCTCCCATCGAGCTTGTGTCATCACAATTTGCAGCACACCACAACGCTACCTATGAGTGAGTATACACATTGTTCCCCATGCTTCCCAGTCCTGTGAAATGTATATGTATTTGCTCTTGCTGGTATGCTGATAATGGATGTATATTGTTTGGTTCAGTAGTGCCAAACAAACAAGTCTGATTTAACATACATCGATGCTGCTATTGTTGGGTTCTTATATATTGTGCCACACAAATTAATGCCTTTTGTAACAATAATGCTATCTACCTATCCTGCAGCATATAGAGATATTACACATGGTACTTTGGCCAATCATCAGTATTTCGCCACTGCATGTAGCCAAGCATTGTCACAAAATATAACAAAGCAAATAGTTATTATTAATACTATTAGGATTGAGTACAAAATCAGAATACGAAACTGCATGCCAAAAGCTCCAATTTGAGATGCAGAGGAGAGAAAATACCAGGATTATGGTTATCTGCATGCGAATATGCAGCAGCAGTGAGTGTGATATCTTAACAGCTGCTTAATAGAGATGCTATCTATGCTGTGCGCCTACCGGATACAGGATATTTGCCGAGTGTCAGAGGCACTCGGCGAAGTCCCAAAAACACTCGGCAAACGACACTCGGCAAACGTGTTAATGGCAAACGCTAGTTTGCCGAGTGTTTTCTGTCGGGCACTCGGCAAAGAAGTTGCCGAGTGCCCAAAAAATACTCGGCAAACTTTTTTTTTTCAAAAATAAAATAAAAAAAAGCACGCCGGGGAAGAAGGGAGGGCTCCACCACGCCACACCACCACCATCCCCGCCACCACCACCACGCCGGGGAAGAAGGGAGGGCCCCACCACACCGCACCACCACCACGCCACCAGCAAAGCCGCCTCCTCGAGCCGCTCGCCACAGCGACGTCGTCATCCGCGACCATCGCGGGCTGCTACTCTGCCACGCCGCTGAGCTGCGGCGCCCTCGCCGCGGCCACCTCTGTTCGCCGTCACCAGGAAGCCGCGGTGTCGAGCCTCCACCGCCATGCCATCCACCTCGACGAGCCTCGCCCAAGCCTATCCTCGCCAGCGTTGTGCGTCGCCCGTTCCTTCCTCGTGGAGCTGCGAACGCCGACGAGCACGCCACCGGATCCGCCGCTCCTCCCTCCGCCACCACCACCACGCATGTCACCGCCAGATCTGGAGAGGGAGGGCCGAGAGGGGGTGGCGCCGCCGGATCTGGAGAGGGAGGGCCGGGAGGGGGCCGCACCGGCGAGGGAGGACGGGAGGGCGGGCCGCGCCGGGGAGGGAGGAGGGGAGGGCGGGCCGCTCCGGCGAGGGAGGAGGGGAGGGCAGGCCATGCCAGCGGAGGAGGAGGAGGAGGTGGGCCACGCCAGCGAGGGGAGGAGGGAGGGCAGGCCAGCGCCGCCTGCGCCGGGAGGGGAGGAGGGCGGGCGGGGCCACGCCGGCGCCGAGAGGAGGAGGGGGCGGCGCACGCGCTTGCAGAAGAAGGGAGGGGGGAGCTGGGGCGGGAGGAGAGAGAAGGGGGGGGACGGGGAGGCGGGTGGGGTGGTGGGCGCGGTTAGGTTAAGTAGATATTTTTGTTGTATGTCGAGTGTCCCAGGATGGGGCACTCGGCAAAGTTTTTTTTTTTTTTTTCTCCTACTTTTTTTTTTTGTGTTTTTAGATCTGAGCACTCGGCAAAGTTTTTGTTCATTTTTTTTTCTTCTCCTTTTTCAGAAAAAAAGATTTTATTTTTGTTTACTGAGTGTATTTTTTAACACTCGGCAAACAACCTGTTTGCCAAGTGTTTTTGTTTTGACACTCGGCAAAACGTCCTGTTTGCCGAGTGTTTTTTTTGTTGAGTGTTTTTAGCGCGGCACTCGGCAAATAACTTATTCGCCGAGTGCCCGATGGAATACACTCGGCAAACATAAAAACACTCGGCAAATTTGAGGATTCCGGTGGTCGGAGGTTCAAAATTCTTGACAGCAAGCATTTTTGTTGGTTGGCACAGACACGGTGTTGTATATACATGATGCAAAAAAATTGACATTGGGTTTTTGTAATCACGATATTAGAATTCCACCAGCAGTGTAGTGCAACACTGTATACAGAAAATCGAAGGGAGAAAGGAAAACTCTAAAGCAAAAAGGACAGAATAGAATAGAATGAAACCGTGCAGAGTGAGTTGTTGGGTTGCCAAGTCATTCATGCATGGCCACCTGTTCATTACCTACTAAATTTTGACCCTGTTTCAACGCCCAAAATGTGTTGCAATAGGCCCGAAATAGTTGCAACATCAGAAATAGCAACACTTTTTTTCGTTGGGGCGCGCTGCGCGCGCTTGCGTGGGTAAAGCTTTGGACAACGCTTTTTACGCTTAGCGTTGCAAAATGTGTTTTAGATTTGCAACACCTAGGCGTTGCAACATAAGATTTTGCTATGGTTGTAGGTGTGGCAACAACAGCTAATGCAACGCCTTAGGCGTTGTTGGACCTTGCAATGGCAACTTGCCTATGTCGTAGCAAATGGTGCACTAGCAACGACAAACGTGTGTTGCAAGACAATGTATTGCCACGCATAATGCGAGTGGCAACAAGGATTATCTCGCAGCACCAAGAAGTGATGGCAACATGTGCAATTGCAACGTCCAAGGTTTGGTTTCTATAAGGTGCAGTCTCTATTACATCGCATATCGAGTGTGGAACAAAACCTATGTGGCAACACCAAGAAGTGGTGGCAACATGTGCAATTGCCACGTTCACATTATCGTTGCTATAAGGTCCAGCCTCTATTGCATTGCATAACGAGTGAGGCAACAAAACCTATGTGGCAACAACAAGAAGTGGTGGCAACATGTGCAATTGCCACGTTCACATTGTCATTGCTATAAGGTGTAGCCTTTATTGCTACGCAGATTGTTCGTTGCTATAGGATATATTGCTACAGAAAATGTGGTTGTCAATAACCACTTTTACAATTCTTTTGGTTTGGTGCCACCGGATAATATTACAGCACTATTATTTAATTAGAAACTCAATAGACATCAACAAAGCATTTGAATAATGCCATTAAACCAAAATATTAACTTGTTTAATTTGTTCACATCCGGAATTAAACGATCCAAAAATTCAAACTCATGCTACACACACATTATTGAAACCATCCCTCAATAAAGTAATTCGACACATTTATGTCTAAACAACATCTAAAGTGGTTAGACACCACTAAAGGTCGAAGCGAAGCTTGGATTGAATTGACCATCCCATCACTTGAGCGCTCCACTCAAACTCTATCTTCCTGCTCAATAAAATCATTGACATTGACATATGCATCAGTTGTTCAGTACATCACGATAGTAAACTAAACCACAATATGATAAGGCTATGTAATAAATTTTCAGCAATTAGTTAAACTGAAATTGGAGGTGTTGACAACAAAAGCATGGACTAAATCGTTTCAACTTTAAGCAATAAAGAAATATGAGGTGTTCACAACAATAACACAGTCACAACGATTAAGAACGTGTTCACAAACAAAGAAAATAAAAAGGCACAAGTTATCCAGAACCATTGATAATGTTTTAAAGGCACATTTCGTGTGCCTCTCTCTAGCATGATCTGCCTGCCCAACTAACATGTATATGTTTGTGCTTCGTTAAAGTGACTAACAAGCGGCCCTAATATTCTGGTGGTAAAGGATTGTAAGTCTACGTTCCTTAGGAGAGTTTCTCCAGATAATGTTCTTTTAATGGATACTAGATCTTACTGCCAGCAACAGGTAGCTTTTGTGGTCTTCAAAGTTTTGTATGGGGAAGGTGTTTGCAGGTATCCCTTTCCCTTGCTATCTGTTAGTGTGAGCTCAATCTCTAGCATGCGCTAAACGAACGGAGGAATAAGACGAGTAGAGGTTGGTCTTTATGTACTCTCTTATTTTTCTTAGAGGCTGTTTTGTGCCAAGTTATCATTTTATACTCTCTATTATATATTGTTTCTCTTGATGAATATCAAATATGAGGCACCTTTTGAGTATCTTTATTAAAAAAACTTGAAGGAAAAAATCACCTTTAATAACTCCTACTGAATCAAAGACACAAAGTACTTCACCCGTGCTGAACTGAACTGGTTTATTATTACTAGCCTAACACTGATGGCAAAGTATTCCTATTGGTGTGGAACCAACCGAAAGAAAAATTACAAATCACAAACCACACAGAGCAATGACAAAATTCATGTGTAGAAATGACATAATGATTTTGACCTGACACTCTTTTCTTATCTACTACTGAATTATTGTTGCTGTCAAGCTTTCATACTTCACTACAGTGCGGTTTCTATCCATAGCTGTGTCATTTGAATAGTCCAACGTTTGGTCATGTCATGTGCCATCCTTTTCTTGCATGTCACATTGATGGTTGTCCCACATTTATTTCCCAGACAGAGATGCTATCTATAATACTTTTCAAAGATAAAATATTTTCAGTCATTTGAATAGAAAAAAATGTAGTAATCATTTAAAATTTTGACCAGGTTCCTGTTGATGATTGGGCTACTACTGCAGATATTCATGCCTTATTTAACGACTTCCACCCCACAGGATGGAAGGCGCACCAGGCAGCCACGGCAAAGTGCAGACAAACCACAATACAACCATCACCTTGCTGAAGAATGAAGATCCATAAGATGATTCCCAGCCTATGTACATGGCAGATCTCCATGCTCACTCTTATCACCAATATCCTCTTTGTTACATCCACCTCTCCATCTCCTAACCCTAGCCACCATGATCTCTTGGCGCTCTTATCCCTCAAATCCCACATAACAAGTGATGCACTGTCGTCATGGGATGCAGCAAGCAACGACACCAGCAAACCAGTTCCTAATTTCTGCAAATGGACTGGTGTGACCTGCGGCGACCGTCGCCACCCTGGCCATGTCACTGCCATAGATCTGCATGGCTATGGCCTTGGAGGCACCATCTCTCAAGACATCGGCAACCTCACATACCTCCACTTCATTGATCTGTCGTCCAATAATCTGGTAGGTGATATTCCCTCCAGCCTTGGCAATTGCAGAAGACTTCGTACTATGAATTTGAGCAGTAACCACTTGTCTGGTTCTGTCCCTACTCCTCTGGGTCACCTATCAAAGCTCAAAATTTTCAATGTCAACTACAACAATCTGACTGGCGAAATTCCCACGACACTATTTAATGTCACAACGCTAATGTTCCTTAGAATTGGGGGAAACTCCTTTCAGGGCCAAATCCCCAGCTGGTTGAGCAACCTAACATCATTGACTGATTTGTATCTTGTGAATAACAACTTCAGTGGCAACATCCCTGCAGATTTATGTAAGTTAAGTAACCTCACGGGGTTTGATGTAATGAATAACAAGCTTGACGGCCCTGTTCCTCCATCACTCTTCAATATTTCGTCCATCACTATCTTAGGTCTTGCCAAGAACCAGCTTACAGGATCACTGCCACTTGATATTGGCTTTAAGCTTCCCAAGCTATATGCTTTGGTCACATATAACAATTACTTTGAGGGTCCAATACCAGCCTCCTTATCAAATGCATCTGAACTCCAATATCTGATTCTTCGTGGAAACCAATATCATGGTTTTATCCCATGGGAGATTGGTATTCATGGTAAATTGAAGTTTTTTTCGGTAGGCCACAATGAACTACAAACCACAAAGCCTACGGATTGGGAGTTTATCACATCCATAACCAACTGTAGCAACTTGAAAAGAATAGACCTCGAACAAAACAACTTTTCAGGTGTTATGCCGGTTAGTATCGCCAACCTATCTCGAAAACTCGAGTGGCTTACAATTGGCACAAATCACATAGCCGGGACCATATCTTGGGTAGGGATGTTCCAAAACCTTACAAAGCTTACCCTTGAGGATAACCTATTTACAGGCACCTTACCTATATAGATATTGGCAAGCTCTCTAGTCTCGAGATTCTTTATGAGTCATAATGGATTTGAAGGGCAGATTCCACAATCAATAGGCAATCTCACAGTACTGGATAAGCTTTCTCTATCTAATAACTTTATGAACAACAGCATTCCGCCAAGCCTTGGAAAATTATCGAATATTGAATCCATGGATCTTTCTTGTAACCTGTTGACAGGCCAAATCCCGGATGGGTAACAGATGACTATGGTAATGACGATTTCCCTGAGGATTACTAGACTTGTGGTCAACCAGTTGACGTCCCTGTGATATGAAGCTTCCGCGAGAGATCTTTTCTTATACTTCCGCTCTATTTATGTAAAGACTCTATCATATTATTCATGATGTAATAAACACTTGTGATGATACTATTCATAATTTGTCGGCTTATGTGTGTGACTGATCTCTGGGTGCACATAAGATTTTGCATCCCATTTTAACCTTAAAATCGGGTGTGACATGCTTCTTCCTTTCCTCTTCTCGTCTGTAGTGCTATGAAAAATCTGCTATACATAATTTGGAAAATTAGAAGCAAGCACAATGGCAACGTAGTTTTTATGCTACAATAAAAAGGGAGAAGGGTATGCTACAATACCTTCATTATCACATAAGAAATCTCCAATTGGTTCATATTCCAAATCTTCTTCAATTTGTTCACAATCCAAATCCTCTTCTTCAATTTGTTCATTCACATTCATGCACGGTTTGTTTGTGGCCTAGGGCGCAAATTATGATCATGGGTTTCTCCATCATTTGTCTTATGAGTTCTCTACAAGGAAGTAACATGATTTATGTAAATAGTTCTTATTAAATAAGCAAAGACATTGCAACAGAACAATTTATATAAGAGATGACCTTTGTTCTTTTCTTAGCTTGAGGTTGAGGATTAGGCGAGTAGGGATGTTTAAGGAAATAAACTTCTCTTGGATCTGTGCAATGTTTTGAAGCCTCAGCAGCTCACACTTGGTAAGGGGGGCATCCTTACTGTTTCCTCTTCCGCTTGCCATTTGTTTTCCTGAAAAAAGGCCCAACAATTAGTTCTATACAAAGGATCAATAAAAAGATCAATAACATAATTATAGCAGCAACACCATTTAAACAAAACTTACTTTCTAAATTGTTTCTTAGTTTTTTTGGTATCAACAATTGTACCATCTATGTCAGTTCTAACTGAAGGGACCACCCCATTTACAATATCCACAGTCACATCTGCACTTAGATCATGCAATGGCCATACTGATCCAATATCATTATCTGTGTGCTCATTCTCTAAATTATCTAAGTCATACACATCTCTTGGTTTTGACTGAACAACAGCGGACCAATCATTATCATCTGGAACATAGTACACTTGAATTACTTGTGATGCTAGAATGAAAGGCTCATCAGATATCTTTTCTCCTGTATTGAATAAGTGCTTAAAGTTAACAAATGTGATCCCAAATTTATCAGTTTTTACCCATTTGTCCTGCACATGGTTGTCAACCCAATCACACTTGAAAAGCACAACACTTCCTTTATGGCTATAATTTAGTTCAAGAATCTCGTAAATAATCCCATAATAGATATTGTTTCTTATTATAACATCATTGTTATTGCCCCCCTCAAAGGTTGTTGCCTCAGCAACTACAGCAACCCCACTATTTTGAATAGGTCTTCCCTCATCATAGGATTCTGTGGAAACAGAACCCATTAATATTGTAGCTGATGTACTTGCGTGCATTCATCATTGGCCCCTTGGCCAAAATTTTGATCTCCTCTATTGCTTCCTCACATATTTCTTCCACCCGTGATTATGATAGACTACTATTATTAAAGTAAATGTGTCATTTGTCTCAATATCAAGGGCTAAGTTTTACTTTCACTTACAAGCAACCTAAACCACTCATGAAAGGATTCATGATGCATGCGGTTGATCTCCCATTTATTTCAAAAGCCAATAGAGGAAAGGTACTGAGCATGCTTACTGCAAAGGTTATTTGACTTTAAGATTGGTTACAAAATTGATGATATGATGTAAGTGATTTGGATTACTTACTCCAAGTATGGTACTATGTTGCCATAGTTGAACAAAACATATGTATGAGCTTGCATCCAAGTCTTGTGGTCTAAACTAAATGTGCATTTTCCAGTCAATCCTAGACCAATGCTATGGAAGAAAGGAGTTGTACTATCATCTTCATCTTTTCTAATTTGGTGGTACAATTGTGTGTCACCATGTAGATAGCGAGAACAAAGTGTAAGGCACTCGGTGAAATTAGACCACTCCATAATTGATCCCTCAGGATGACTTTTTGTATGTATAGAACCCTTCAATCTCATGAGAAACCTGTATACATAAATAATAGGCACATTGATAATGTTATACATGGAATAGGTACACATTTGTATCCACTAAGATGCAATACAGGCTATGATAGTTACCTCTCTACAGGCCACATGCTGCGAAAATGGACTGGACCAGCTATTTGAGCTTGGGTAGGAAGATGTACCATCAAGTGTACCATAATGCCAAAAAAAAGATGGAAGGAATATAGTCTCAAGAAGGCTCAAGGTTTCAGCTATTTCAGCCTGCAGACTTTCCATATCACTTATTGGAATGATAGGGGCACAAAGTTTCTTGAAGAAATTACATATACGAATCACTGAAGCACTGACTATTTCTGGTAATATTTTTCTCACAGCAATTGGTAGCAAGTGTTGCAGAATAATGTAGCTCTCATGACTCTTGAGCTAAAATATCTTCCTCTCATTCACATGTACATTATGTCTTATATTAGATGCATAACCATCAGGAAACTTCACCCCTTTTAGTACTTGGCAAAATAATTTCATCTCATCAGGACTCATTGAGTATGGTGCAGGTGGTAAATAAAATTGGTCCTCTACTTCAAATGGGTGAAGATCACTTCTAATACCTTGAGCTTGAAAGTCTAAGCAAGAGTTCAGGTTATCCTTTGATTTTCCAATAGTGCCCATGAATGTGTTCAGTAAGCTTTCATAGACATTTTTGCCTATGTGCATGAAGTCAAAATTATGTCTCAACATCAAATCTTTCCAATATGGAAGTTTGAACCAAATAGATCTTCTCTTGAAAATGACTAATGGTTCACCTTCCTTGTGTTTCTTGCATGTTGGTTTCTTTCCGGATGGATCCTTGCCAAAACTAGTGCTAAGATCTTTAGTGCACTCCAAAATTTCCTCCCCATTAAGTGGTGCAGGTGCTGGCCGAAACTCAGTTCTACCACCAAATTTATCGGCATCACACCTAAATTTGTAATTTTCATCCAAGAATCTTTGATGACCCATATAACAAGTCTTGGTACCATTACCAAGTCTAAACAAATCTATAAAGAAGTGGCAATTAGGACATGCTACTTCACCAGATGTGACATATCCCGACACATATCCTAGACCAGGGAAATCGGTAATAGTCCACAATATTGCTGCCCGCAATTGGAAGTACTCACCCCTCGAGGCATCATAAGTTCTAACACCATTTTCAAACATATCTAACAAGTCATTAACAAGTGGCTCACAATAGAGATTCATATCACTACCTGGACCATCTTTACCAGGTATCAGAAAAGACAAAATGAAATTTGATTGCTTCATGCACATTGAAGGTGGAAAATTTAAGGGAATACAGATACTAAGCCAAATGTTGTAGCTAACATTCTGCATTCTATATGGATTAAAACCATCGGTGGCGAATGCTAGACGGATATTCCGACTATCTGCAGCGAACTGTGGATGTTTCTTATCAAAGTCATCCCATAGAGGTGAATCTACAGGATGTCTTAGGAGACCATCTTTTTTCGGTCTTCATCATGCCATCTTGTTAGACTTGCTGTTTTAGGACAAAAATAACCTTTGGAGACATTTCTTTATTGAAAAGTAGCGTAGAACCTTCTTAGGAACCTTATATATATGTTTCCCATCTAGAGACTTTCTACTGACTTCCACCGTGAAACCTTACACTTTGGACATGCATCCAAATCTACGTTCCCCTTCCAATAGAGAATGCAATTATTTTTCATAGGCATGAATACTAATATACCCAATTTCTATGGTTTTCACCAATTTCTTAGCCTCATGAAAGGTTTTAGCTAGTGTTGAACCCTCAGGGAGCGCAACATTAAGTAGATCTAGTAGCAGGTTGAAAGATTTGTCAGACCATCCTCCAAAGAGTTTGATGTGGAGTAATCTAATAATAAATCGAAGTTGTGTATATTTCTTGCAAATAGGGTACAATTCTTTGCTGTTTTTTCTATGACTAACTTCTGAATGGCAACTAGCTCCTCACAAGGATCTGAATAGAACTATTTTCCTCATAATCTCCCTATCATCTAAGCCAGCAGCTAAGTCTCTAAGCAAATCAGATATGTCATCATGTACATTGGACTCGTCCACAACCTCAACATCATCACCATCAAAGTCTCCATGATTCACACAAGGGGTAGGTTCTCAATGTAAATTCCATGTTCTATACCCTTTTAGAAACCCATCACATATCAAATGTTCACGGACCTCACTAGCCTCTTTCCAAAAAGAGTTGACACACTTTCTACATGGGCATAATATCTTTCTACCAACAGCTGAGTTACTAAATGCAAAAGCTAACAAATTGTTCACTCCTTGCAAATATGTCTTGCCGTGCCTACATGAAACCTTTATGTTAAAAGCCATTTTACATAGCTACATATACCACTTTCAGTATTTGTGAAGCTATTATTTTTTACCTAGCATCATCATCAGTCCAAGATTTATCCATCACTGTTATAAGGGCGAGAACAAAAAGCTGTCCAAATTATATAATCCATCTATGAAATTTGGGGTACCACAAAATAATGCATACAGACTAGAGAGGGGAGAGCATCACCTGGTCCTCTTGCTTTAAATCCACACACACAATGACTTCTTCCAGCTCCTGCCCACCACACAACAATGACTCTGCTTGTCAGGACACCAGATCTTGA